CGCCTCTTTAATGGAGCCATCTCCGTTGTTCGTCTCAATTCCTTAGTTTATGCACTCTTTCCCACTGTTGCTCTCACTGTTTATATTACCTGGCTCTGCAATATTGCTGTTGTTTTGTACCACGATACCCTCTTCCTCCACACTACTGCTGTGGTTCTCTAAACTACTTGTTCCTGAGTTTTGGTCGTTATCCAGTGCTGTTTGTTCACGGTCCGCATGCATCGCTGGTAGCTTTTTTTTAGCTTTAGCTGATAGCTGGTAGCTTTAAACCCCGACGGGGTTCAACGGCCCCCCCCCCCCAAGGCAGCCCCTCCCCAGCTCCGGGAACCCACACGGCAGGCCCCGGGGCCGAGCCGTCCCCTGAAAGAAAAAACCGGGGCAGCCGCGAAAGTACTAAGGAAGGGAGCCCACTGGCAGACTCATACAACACGGTTGGAGGAACAGGCTCAAATGCCCCCGTCGCTACCCCGGAAGGGGATTTTCCCGAGACCGCCCGAGTCTCAAAACCAACGAGGCCCCACCCCGACCCCGAACCCACAGACGGTAAAAACCCGGCTGCAGGGAGGAAAAGGGGGGGGGGCACCAGACTAGACCACAACAGGGGAAAGACAAGGGGGCATGGAAGGAAACCAAAGCAACCAACACCCTCAAACCCTGACACGCCAACCAAAACGGGGCAGCCTCGGGGCTTCCGGGGAGCAATCACCACCGAGCATTGCCAACCTGCAACGCCTGTGCTGCCTGTACCTGCATAGTCAGCATAAGACAGGGTAACCGAGTCACAAACAAGCAACAAAACTCGCAGAACTCCGGGCCGAAGGTGCCACCGACCCCACAGGCAGCAGACGGAGGCAAGACCATGAGAGTCACCCTGAGACAATGGGACAGAGCAACCCACAAACTCGCTCGAAGCGAGGGGGAACTCCGGGGTCACATCCCTCGGACCTTCGCGTCCCCTAGGGGATTCCCAGGTTCCTGAGTGTTTACTATAAGAGGACTTGCGCCCAGGTAATCCCAGGCAGGGTACTACTAACCGGTGCCCAAATCTACCAAACAACTTCGAAGAGCTGAACCCCCGGGACATGTACACTCATGAGGACCTAGCAGGGGGAGCCACTGGAAAAAGGAAGAGGACTTAGTACAAAGGGGGAAAGAACCAAGACAGATCCTCCCACCAGGTAGACAAACAAAAAGAAAAAAGAAAACCCCGAAAGAGGACAGCGTACCCAGGCGGAACAGAGTGAATTGATTTCACTCTGATTGGTTAAAACAAGCTGTGCAGTACCCTGCGCCCCACCAGTGCAAACTGCCCCTTACCCCAAGGCGAACAAGGGAGACATAACACCCTACACACAAAGGGCGGCCGATACCAAGCAGTAAACGGCCTAGCAGGGGCAGAACCCAAGGGACTTGTTGAAGAGAATCCCAAGCCCCAAGGGCAGTACTTACACAGCACCTAGGGAAGGAAACCCTAGGACCCTTTCAGCCCGAGTACTGGTGAATCACTCCCAACTCACGCACCACCTAGAAGACAGTCACCACACGCTAGGTACAGTGCTGAAACAACCACTGGAGCCAGAGCCATGACCTCAGTCTTTAGCATCAGCCAAAGAACTGAGGTGTGGATCGTCGGCACGGGAGGTCTGGGGCTCCCTCTTCCCCCTCCCGGGGAGGGGGAAGCTGCGCAGATGGTGGCACAGCGACGGGTGACGTCATATTAGTTTGCTAGTTTTTGTTTGGGGAGTTTTATTCACTCATTCGGCTTTTAGGTTGCAATTTTCGACAGAATTGGGGTTTGTTTTGGGACGCTTACCTTTCTGGGTGCCTGACCCGGTCGATGGCAGACATAGATTGCTTCCAATCACACGGGGGTTTCAATAGGCCATTGCTTCCCTTGCCTCTCTAGAAGGGGGCCAGGTTCTGGCTCGTGGTCCCCGGTAGGCCCAAAGAACTCCATACACATGACTGATGCCAAAGTCTGACATTAGCATATCAGCCTAGTAAGCTCCGGGGAGCCGTAGGGGCTCCCCCCCAGAAATATTTTTTTAAGGGAATTTTTTTTTTAGGTTTCTAGTTTTTTCCTCCTTTGTTTATTATTTGAATTTATTGTAACCTTTACATCCTGGAGAATGCAGACTCATCCCTAACTATGCAAAGCCAGAATTAAATTGGTCAACAAATAAATCGGTTACAACTCTCAGAACTTGGATTTTGAATTTTGTTTGGCCGATTTTTTTCACAGATTTCAAACTCTATTTTCCTTGTTTCTTTAGGTTGTTTTGATGATTAGGGACCAGATTAGGGCTTTTATACTTATATAAAGTATACCCTAAATATATCCCCTAAATCATTATAATTATCATTTTTTTTGGGGGGGGTTATGTTTTCCTGACTTCGTTTCAACACATACTGACCTACAACTTTCACATATTCGAGTACGAATGCCAAACAATGTTTATTACAACATACAAGTAAATTCATGAATTAGAACTGCCTTATTCATTGTCGATAACTTCAACTTCAATTATATCTATAACTAGAATTTCAACTTACTTCAGTATCCAAAAATCTAGTTTCTGACCGACTCTCACCATTTTTACATATAGTGTGCACAGCTGTCTGTTCTACAATCCCTATAGAATTTATTTTGTGTAAACTCTAAACGTTCGGAGTTAATACGTTTTTATTGTCTAAATTTGCGCATATTTCAAATGACATACAGTATTGACATTTTTTTTACAGTAAACTATAGTGAAAACCTATATTCTAAATATATGAAAATGAAGCTAACATGTTATTCTGAGAGCATAATAACACCAAATGAACAATTAGTGATATTTTATATTTTTGCAGCTGATTTCAAAATATGAAGTTTTCAATATTCAATTTCTAATTACAGTATTTGTTATTTTCTTGTTTTTCAAGTTATGCTGGTATCATTTAGACAAAGATGGAGCATTTGCCTAGTAGATTATGCACAAAACATTTGAAAGAGTTTCAGAAAATTAAAAAACTGAGCTCAATGTCACACTTCATATGACGTTTTGCGCAGTTTAGGGGTTAATAATACAGTAGTTATTTGACTACACAATACAGTACCAGAAATTAACATCGTTTGGTTTCATAATCTAATATTCCTGCAGGTAATTTACCACTGCTATTAATGCATAACTTTACATGTTAAATACTACTTTTAATATGGTAACTTGTGCCATCGAATATATTAACACTTTCGCGCTATCTGGACGCGCCGGCGCGTCCCGTTTCGTCTAACGCTAACGCATAGTGGACATAAAGTTGAGTCCTCTTTTAAAATATTTGTATAAAATTCAATTTTTATCCGATTTACTTTGGGTTTGTTTCAAACTGCGCGCTATGAGGCTCTCTTTCTCACCACTAGGCTGCATGGTACAATAAGTTCATGAAAGGTGTGGATAACTTCGATCAAATGGTATTTTGTCCCAAACGGGTTGCAGGTGGGTGACTTTAGCCGTTTATACTGGTAATGCTTCCCCCATATCATGTATTATATGCATATGTCTGTTTAGGGAATTTTATTCCGATCAATATACAACCAAAAATAACTGTGTGCAACAAGTATAAACTTGACAAACATAACAAAAGTAAAAACATTTCGTGTGTGTTTGACGCTCACTGATATGTTCCAGCGTTGTTTTATATTTGGCGCTATTCTAACTTACGCTTTGTTGATATTTTTTACCTATGGGCACATAGAACATTCTATTGCGAACACATTGACACAAAAATGAATGACGTACATAGAAAATTAATGTCATGAGAGTGAAATAAGTATAAACTTTCAAAGCGCCGTGCGTCGTCCCGTCACCGATACCGGGTAACAATTTCACCACTTCCCACACTCTTGCGGGCGGGCCGCATCATTATTCTACGCTTATATTCATATCACCGTGTTGGGAATTTCATTGCGAGTCCATTGATACCAAAATTAACGCTGTAGAATAAGTGTGGAGGTGATTACAATCCCAAGAGTAAAAACATTTTGTTGCTGATGGGCGCTCACGGCGAGTCATCTTCGTAGTTATTTATTTGGTGCTGGTATCCCTATACGTTTCGTGACTTTTTTTACTGATGTTCTTCTAGAGAATTTTATTGCGAACACGTTGGTACCAAAATGAAATACGTAGCATGAGAACTAAGGTCAGAAGAGTAAAAAGAGTATACACATTTTTGTTTTTACGCTTAAGCGATAAAAACGCCGCGCGCACATTCGGTTGGCTGAGTGACCTTCGCGGAAAGCGCGAAAGTGTTAAGTTTAAAAGGGTATTCTCATCTATTTTGAGTGGGGAAAGGACGTGGCGGGTGAACCGGATGTTTTTGCGTCCATCTATACGTTGTTGTCTTCTTATCTTTGGTTTTTGTTTAGTGATGAATCAATGGACATTTTATGGCATTAGGGTGATTGGTGCATGTGATAAATAATATAACCTCTGTATGTAATATTCACCTGTCAAATACAACTGGAAGTATCTGCATGTTTTTGTTTTTTATTTTATTTATATATACCAGAGATGTTACATTGTTGTATAGCCACTAGCACGCATAGCCGTTTCCGGCAGGTCCTTAATTCTAGTTTTTCCCCAGAATACGACCCGCCAAGTTGTTTAACAACCAGGTCCCATTCACTGCTGGATAACAGAGGCTACTGTTAAGATTGACCCTCAGTTAATCCTTCCCGGCCAGGATACGAACCCAGGCCAAAAAGCTCGCAAAACACTTCTCCATCAGAAGATGGAGAAGTGACGACGTTTCAGTCCGTCATGGACCATTGTGGACCATCTTGGACTAGTAAAGTGTGGCCCAAAAGTAGAAGCTCAACGTTTCAATCACTATTAGATAAATAAAAGTAGGTAATAACACACTAATATATAATGTACAATGCTACCTCTTAACAAGGAGCCCCATCACATGCACCATGATGATCCATCTCACTGTATAAGACAAGCCAGCACCACACGTACCCCTTTGTCCTTGCGTTGAGCCTTCTTGCGCCGAACAACCTGTCCATCCTTTAGCATGATATTTTTCTTGCCCTGCTTCTCCGAGAAGTACAATGACTGAGCCTGGTGGAGAGGAAAATAAATTAATTTGACTAAACAAATTTTTTTAATTGTTCAGCACACTATTGTACACCATTCCAAATGTAGAGTGGAATACTCAACACACGCCTTTAAAAAATTAATGCACAGACTATGAAGAAACACTGATCTCTGACAAATTCACTCACTCGCTCTCTTCCCTTAAGGGAGGGCGGCGTTCAATGGTGGTTAAATTTTCTGCCTCCTTTCAACTATCCTGTGACAACAATGCCAGGAATAGGCAAAATCTTGTAGGGGAAACTAATTAACTCTTTGCAAACTGCACTCAAAATACACGCCACACCCGAAGGTCTGAATTTGTAAAATGTATTAATTGTTTTTGGTTAGTATATACAGTACTGTATACTGAATGAAATGCTCTAGTTGCAAACATCATTATTTCTTTTACTGTGGGGTGTGTAAACATATCAAACCGTCAAGAAATAATAAGGGAGCATTAAATCAAAAGATAAAGGTATCACATTTAGAGGTATTCCACATTAACCTAACACATTTGGCAGCATCATGCATTAACATTCCCACGCACCCATCCTAATTTCTACCCTTTCATCAAACACCCACTAGCATGATGGGTAGGATGAGAGGTGAACGCTCTCGTAACACCAAGCTCTAAAACCCCTCAGAACGAAATCATCAAAAATGTGAACATTTCTCACCAAGCTATAGTTGGATGTTTCTCTTGGCATGTCAGTCGAGTCATCATCAACGTGGAGCGCATCGTTGGTGTCGTCCCTGTCGTCGCCATCATCGCACATGTCGTCGTCTCCATCGTCATTATCGACCCAGTCGTCGACTTCTAAAGGCTCTATAGTGATAGAACCAATAGAGTAATTCAAATTTGTATATGCAAGACTTCAAATAGGAAGCGTAATACATACTAAAAAGAGGAAACCTAATACCCAAAATAGAAAACGTAATACCTGTACTAAAAATAGGAAATATAATACATGTACTGTACTAAAAGTGGGAAATGTAATGAAACAGTGTAATAATTTATGAGTGAGAGACTGGAAAAGGGGGAAATTGAACTGAAATTACATATTTTATAATTGATATATTTATTGAATTTTATTATAAATTGATCTCTTCCTATAAAACTTTTCCACCCATCCTGTGCAGGATCCTTTCCATTCCGTTGACATAAACAAATGATCGCAAAACTACGAAATGTGTGCGACTCAAAACTGAAGTATAATTCTGAAGTCCAGGTGGCTCTAACCTACGAACAGAATGTGTAGGGTATTCACTCTATACACTAAGAGGTGTAACCTGCTTCTCAGTCTATATATCGAGAGGTGTACCTTGTTTTTCAGCGTAAATAAACTGAGAGGTGAACCCCCTGCTTCTTGTACATACAGTATATGTTAGGCTTATACCAAGGTCCCCCCCCCCTACTCACCCCAGGGTCAAATTACTGACCCCTCTTCAGGATGCAACCCCACAACAAGCTGATTAACTCCTGGGTATCTATTTACAACTATGTGGCCAGGGGTGATAGGAAATGTGCCCAACCATTTCTGTTCCATCCGGAATTTGAACCCAGTATTCTCGATTTTGAGTTGTGAACGAACCCAACTGTACCATTGGAACCCTTTTAACCCCTGCACTGCGCACTTGTTTTGAGCAAAAACTTCATAGTTAAGGACATATTTTTGTTCTTTTTTTTTTTTATAAATGTTCCGATAAAGTTAATGTCAAAATATTTCCAAACTCAAATATTTTCATTTCAAAACACAAAGAGTGATGAAAACATTAAAAAACATTAAAATACTGTATAGCCTAATTAAAAAAAATAACTCAGAACGACTTTTGTTGGTTGGCGCAGTAAAGGGGTTAATATGTACACCGAGAGGTGTACCTGTTTCTCAGTGTATATACGCTGAGAGGTGTACCCTGCTCTTGGTGTATATACACTGAGAGGTGTACCCTGCTCTTGGTGTACATACACTGAGAGGTGTACCCTGCTCTTGGTGTACATACACTGAGAGGTGTACCCTGCTCTTGGTGTATATACGCTGAGAGGTGTACCCTGCTCTTGGTGTATATACACTGAGAGGTGTACCCTGCTCTCAGTGTATATACGCTGAGAGGTGTACCCTGCTCTCAGTGTATATACGCTGAGAGGTGTACCCTGCTCTTGGTGTATATACACTGAGAGGTGTACCCTGCTCTTGGTGTACATACACTGAGAGGTGTACCCTGCTCTTGGTGTATATACACTGAGAGGTGTACCCTGCTCTTGGTGTATATACGCTGAGAGGTGTACCCTGCTCTTGGTGTATATACACTGAGAGGTGTACCCTGCTCTCAGTGTATATACACTGAGAGGTGTACCCTGCTCTTGGTGTACATACACTGAGAGGTGTACCCTACTCTTGGTGTACATACACTGAGAGGTGTACCCTGCTCTCGGTGTACATACACTGCGTTTATACAGCACTGGATTATGTTCAGGTGTGAAGTATACTCGCTGGTTGGTCAGTAACTGTTGTGATGGCCTTAATAACCCCCCCCCCAAGAGGGTGATAGGCCTTAACTCCCTTGCAAAATATTTTCCTTTCTGTATCTTTTCTGTATTTCTTTCTGATATTTGGAAGAATACAAAAACATTCTAATAATTTTAGTTTGGTCATAGTGAAGTTGAAATTGAAATTGAAATTGAAATAAGTTTATTGAGGTAAAATACACAGTGAAGTGAAATGTTGTTGACATCCTATTATGAGAAATAATAATTTCTAGATCATATGTAATAGATTTCTCTTCATCACTACCTTCCAGGTCCATAAAAGTCCTGGAAATTTTGCATGGACGTCAGTCGATGGACTGGTGACGCACCCGACATGGTACCCATCTTATTGCCAAGTGGGGTAGGAGGATGTGACTGGGGACGGGTGTGACTGGGGGACGGGTGTGACTGGTGACTAGACAGGCAGTGAGGGGGGGAGGGGGCTAGACTTTGTATCAAGACCCCCCCCTCAAGGTTGAACTACTGACCATCCCCAGGATGCACACCCACAACAGTTGCCCAACTCCCACCTGGGTATTTACTGCTAGGTGAACAGAATGATTAGGTGAAAGGAAAAATGCCCAATCGTTTCTGTCCTTCCCAGGAATAAAACTAGCGCTCCCTGATTGTGAGCCAAGAATGAAGCTAACTGTACTACAAGACCCTATGACCCCTGTTAATTAACATGTTATACCAAACTTACCGTCTTTCACTTCAATCAAGTCGTCGTCTATATAACTATCAGAGTCGTCGAATACATCCGCTCCCTGCAACCACAAAAATAAATATTACGCACACACATCAACTCACAGACAAGGAAATAACAGATAAATATGTTGCAAATGTTTTCTGGTGAATATCAACATAGCATTATTAAATATTACTACCGTACTTAATAAGATGTAACCGCTGAACAGCTACCATACAAGAACCCCCATAAAGAACAAGCATTATAGAAATTCAGAACATAAAACATATTTGGCAACATCAGCTTGGAGAAATTGTTCACTAAAAATTTTTCTCGGAGATTCATTGTGCATCATAATACGTTAATCATTTCTCTTTTTCTTACCTTTCATCTAAGTTGAATTTCATCTTTCTCTTACATTCAATTTGCCTTATGCTCTAACTTTATGTTTATTTATTTATTTATTTATATGTAAGAAGGTACATTGGGTTTATGAGAGCACATAGCATTAAATGTTTGTATATTCTTGTAAAGCCACTAGCACGCATAGCATTTCAGTTGTTTGTCTTTTCCACTCTTTTTAAGTTATATGACTGGATAATGGTCCAGAACCGTCATTGTTTCATTAATGATTAAAACGTCATTGTTTCTTAATTTTCAAGGGCATTTATCTTCTTCTCTTGAGGTTATCTTGAGATGATTTCGGGGCTTAGTGTCCCCGCGGCCCGGTCCTCGACCAGGCCTCCTTTTGTTATACACCCCCAGGAAGCAGCCCGTAGCAGCTGTCTAATTCCCAGGTACCTATTTACTGCTAGGTGAACAGGGCATCAGGGAGAAAAAACTCTGCCCATTTGTTTCCGCCTTCACCAGGGATCGAACCCGGAACCTCGGGACTACGAATCCCGAGCGCTGTCCACTCAGCCATCAGGCTCCACCTTAGCTACTCCAAATTTATGGCTGGAGCTCATCTAACATCAGCCTAACTGCGTGGTTATCTGCTACAAGAAACAGAAGTTTTCCGTGGACTGGCAATGTTTATATGGCTACGAAGCTTTTGCATTTTACAAATCACAAATTACTTTTGCAAATCAATCATCTCAAGATACCCTACATGGGAGTACCGGGGCACATAGGCAATCCTGCCACTGTGGCCTCTCGTTGAACTATTTCATACTTGCCTATAACAATAACATTTGTTCTAAACTAGGCTTTAGGAATTTGGTTTTAAAAATACTCTCCCTTCTATGTTACAAACATTTAAATCCTAATTTTGCTTTTCTTAATAAAGTACTGAACTTTTTACTGTGTTTAGTCATTATTGCATGAATCAACTAATCCGGAAAAATGTTTACAAGATTTTTGTAAACATTAAGGGATTTTAATATTGACAATTTCTGAGCACTGACCTCAACATGATAGTTAGGTTGCTTAGGCACATAAGAATCAAGGAAACTGCAGAAGGCCTATTGTTCCATATGTGGCAGCTCCTAACACTGTTATTATATTACAGTATATTATAGAACTTCAGTTTCAACTCTTTTAACCCTGTCGTAACTCAGTCGATTAAGGCAGTGTCTGGGATGCTCCCGGACGCAGGTTCGAATCCTCGTCACGGCCCTTGTGGATTTGTTCATTGGCAGCTCCTATTTATATCCACCCAAACCCAGTCATATATACGTCTAAGTTATGCTTGAAACAATCGAGGGAACCCACATCTATCGTGTTATCCAGTAATTTGTTCCACAAATCCACAACCTTATTACCAAACCAGTATTTACCCAGGCCTTTCCTAAATCTAAAAATGATCCAATTTATATCCATTGTTGGATGTATTATTACGTATCGATATATAAATAAGGTATTAAATATATCAACACACAATAGGCTCAGATGTTTCCGGTTAGGCAAAACAACAACTTAATTTTGTACAGTGTCAACTCATGAGAATGAGCGGAATATACAAAATGCTGACTACACCTTGCCAGAGGTACAACAGTTCGTTACGAAACCCTTGACTGTAAACCTTTCCACCATTTACATGACAAACGTTATCACTCACCATAGATAGTCCAACTTTCATAATTTTGGGGGATTTTTGAGGTCTGTCGGTCTTCCTTTTGAAGCGGGTATCAATCTCGTCTGGCGATTCAAAGTCGGCCAGCTTTGAGGACTTCTTTCTCACCCGGCCAGAGCGTGACACGCCTACAAGAATACAGAATATTGTTAGAAAAAGCATTCTGTGAATGCAATACTAGTTTGCAGTATCACACACACTTCAGAATTATGCTCTTCATGCGTAATTCTTGATTCACTCATAACGTTCACTGTAAACTGGCATAACTGAAATGATTCATACTACTGTCTTGAGACATATAAACCTTAAACCTTCACACAGTATTGAAGGAAATAAGGAAGCTAAACCCACACACAATACCGAATGGAACAAGTAAACCCATACACACTACCAGAGCTGGAGCATGCTATATCCAACTCTGGCCCCAGACATCACTCGGTACCCCTACTCAAATCTCTGAATATGTTAGACATTAAGTCACTGCACATCCTCTCATGTGTATTATACATATATAAAATGCTGAACTGTAATGCCAATCCTGACCTCAAAAGCTTCATTGAAGGTTGTAACAGATCCCATGAGCACCACACCAGAAATACTAGTAAATTCAGTTTTGATATTCCAAGAGTACGACTTAATCAAACTAGAAATGCTCTACAAATCAAGGGGCCCAGAAAGTGGAATGACCTTCCCAACCATGTTAAAGACTGTACCTCTCTCAACCAGTTTAAGATAAAAACGAAGCACTACCTAATAAATTCCCTGTAACCTACCTTACCCCTCTATTGTCAACCCATGTCTGTTTTCTTAAACAACGCTGTTTGTCGACCTATTTGTATTTGTGCTGCTTTTTCAGCCATGTTTCCCCCTTTTTATCTTTATTTTTATTTGTTCTCAACACATTTTATTCTTTATACTCATTTAGTATTAAGTGTTAGTCATTAAAGTTTTTCCTGCCCGAAACGCTTTGCATAAGTGGCTTTAGGCATCGTATGTACTAGCTCTATCTATAAATCTATCAATTTATGTAAAATCTCTTGTATGTATGTACCTTACCTGAATAAACATTATATTTTATTTTATTTATTTATTTATTTATATGTGTGTGTCGTACCTATTAGCCAGAATGCACTGCTTGGCCTAGTATACAAGGCCCGATTTGCCTAATAGGCAGTGATTTTTGTTAGTTTCAAAAATTTGTTTCCAATTGGTTTATTTGAATGTTATTATATTATATTAGGAACATGAATTACTGACTTAGTTATGTTTGTTTAGGGTAGGATAACAGGTTAGTATTTCTACGTTAGTTTTCAAATTAAAAATAAAATGCAAATCATATATAATGTAAATGTAATGGAAAACTTTATTATTTCACAAGAAAAATATGTAGGAAAATATATAACTTCAGGAAAACTCAGCTTATTAGGCAAATCAGGCCTTGCATACTAGCTCAAGTAGTGCATACTAGCTCAAGTAGTGCATTCTGGCTATTAGGTAATTTGGGTAAGCCTAAGGACAGGATAACTTAGATAGGTTCAAGATCATTTTAACTTAAGTTTGCTTAAGTTATGGTTAGGTTTGATTGGTTAGGTGGGCCGCATATAAATAAAATAATAGTAATGACCATAATAATAATGACAAAATCCCAAGTGTCCACAAGCGGGCCACAAAACACAAGCATGTCCTAAAGCGGGCCACAAAACAGTGTCCACAAAACAAAGTGTCCACAAGCGTGTCCAAAAGCAGGCCACAAAACAGAAGTGTTCACAAGCGGGCCACAAAACAGAAGTGTTCACAAGCGGGCCACAAAACAGAAGTGTCCACAACCGGGCCACAAAACAGAAGTGTTCACAAGCGGGCCACAAAACAGAAGTGTTCACAAGCGGGCCACAAAACAGAAGTGTTCACAATCGGGCCACAAAACAGAAGTGTTCACAAGCGGGCCACAAAACAGAAGTGTCCACAAGCGGGCCACAAAACAGAAGTGTCCACAAGCGGGCCACAAAACAGAAGTGTCCACAAGCGGGCCACAAAACAGAAGTGTCCACAAGCGGGCCACAAAACAGAAGTGTCCACAAGCGGGCCACAAAACAGAAGTGTCCACAAGCGGGCCACAAAACAGAAGTGTCCACAAGCGGGCCACAAAACAGAAGTGTCCACAAGCGGGCCACAAAACAGAAGTGTCCACAAGCGGGCCACAAAACAGAAGTGTCCACAAGCGGGCCACAAAACAGAAGTGTCCACAAGCGGGCCACAAAACAGAAGAGTCCACAAGCGGGCCACAAAACACACAAGCATGGCCACATGTGGGCTGCCAGACTGGTAGCCAATACCTGTGGCGTCGGCTGACGTATTCCTGACTGGTGTTTCCATGACCCACAGTCAATATGGCCATCAAGCGCTCAAATACACCTTCACAAACATCAACAATTCTTCCTCCTTCTTTTCTTTTGTTTACAATCTGCAGACGAGACCCTCCTGCTCCTGCTCTCCGCTAATCACAGCGCCGCTAACAAACCCTAGACGCTCATTGGCCCACAGATATACAAAGCCAATTTTCATTGGGCGATGATAAGTCTATACACTTTTCGATTTACTCAAAAGCCATAAATTGTATAGTTTTTACTCCAAATTTCAATATTTTTGGCGCCGTGTTGCAACCCGCCTTCAAGTTAATCAGTTCACTATATAACAAAATACACATTGTCCATTATGTAATGTTGACATAAGTATATTAGGACACGAGGTCAGGTCAATCACCTTTCCAAATAATCAGTCTTACCCCATATTTATATACGCATTTTTGGATTTATGAAGTGTTATTTAGGTTACATTAATAGTATTTTGCACAACTAACACAAACATAAAAGTTGGAAGTTACGACTTTTTATACCGAAAATATGCCATTTACTGAATAATTGAGAAGGCCCCAGAAAATAGACACACCAGCGGCCATTGAGATTTTTCAGCCCGGTTACTGCTGGCGCTTCGGGTTTCTGAAAATAAATTACTTACTGAAAATAAACTCAACGGTCATTTTTTTTAATCACTCATTTGGAGTTAAAGAGTTCTTATTAATTCCGACTTCGCAATCTCAACACCATCTAGCTCGTATCTTGTAACTCTATCATCATTACCATATCCTCAGAACTTTACATTTATCAGCATTAAACTGCATTTGCCAATCCTTTGACCATTTCAAACCCCTATCTAGATCAACTTGAAGTGATAGTGAGTCCTCCTCCGAATTAATTTCCCTACCGATTTTCGTATCATCGGCAAATTTGCAAATGTTGCTACTCAAACCTGAATCTAAATCATTTATATATATTATAAACAACAGAGGTCCCAGGACAGAGCCCTGAGGTACTCCACTAACAACATTATCCCACTCTAACTTAACCCCATTTATACTAACTCTCTGTTTCCTTTGGAATAGCCATACCCTAATCCAAGTTAATATAGCACCCCCAATACCATGAGCTTCTATTTTTTTAATTAGTCTTTCATGTGGCACTGTATCAAAAGCTTTGCTAAAGTCAAGGTACACAACATCACAATCTTTACCACTATCAACTGCCTTAACTATGCTGGAATAAAAAGTTAGCAAATTTGTTAAACATGAACGGCCATTTGTAAAACCATGTTGCGACTCATTTATTAATTTATGTTTTTCAAGATGGAGACGAATTGTATTTGCAATTATTGATTCAAGTAACTTTCCCACAATAGACGTTAGGCTAATTGGCCGATAGTTTGACGCAAGTGATCTATCTCCTTTCTTAAAAATTGGTACCACATTAGCTACCTTCCATAACTCTGGCACTCTGCCTGACTCTATTGATTTATTAAATATAGTAGACAGTGGCTCGGAAAGTTCCTCTTTGCATTCTTTAAGCACCCTGGCAAACACTTCATCCGGCCCTGGGGATTTGTTTGGTTTTAGTTTTACTAATTGTTTAATTACATCCTCCCTGGTAACTGCTAAACTAGTCAACCTGTCCTCATCCCCACCCACATAGACTTGTTCGGCTGAAGGCATATTGTTAAGTTCTTCTTTAGTAAATACAGATATAAAATATTCGTTAAAAATACTACTCATCTCCTTGTCATTATCCATTATTTGACCTGTCTTAGATTTTAATGGACCTATTACTAAAACCCTTCTCTCTCTTTTAGATGAACGTCTGAAAGACATAACTGATCTTTTGCTGAAACTGAAGGATTTGAAAGCAAGCAGAGGACCCGTCCCAGAGAACACGACCCTGTTCTCCCTCGACATAGTCTCCCTCTACCCAAGCATCCCCCAACGGGAAGCAGCAAGATGTACTTCGACGACCATAAACACCTCATACACCAGCCCCTCAGAGACGCAGGAGTTTGGAGGCCCCCACCAAGGGCCCTCCTGGAGGAAACGATTCTGCATGTCATGAGGGATACAATTCTATCCTTCGATTCAGCAGCTTACAGACAAGTAAAGGGAACGGCAATCGGAGCATCAAGCAGTGTGGCTATAGCGGAAATCTTTGTTCACGTGGCCTTTGAGCACCAGAGAGCACTCCGCCCAGATAAACAAGACATGTACTTTCGTTATATTGATGATATTTTCGGTATAATGACTGGACAAGACACACTCCTCCAGTCCTTCTACGCCTGGACAAATACTGCCCACGAAAATCTGAAGTTCACCTTGGAGCAGAGTAAAACAGAGATAAACTTCCTGGATACGACAGTGTTCATTGGCAGTGAGGACAGGCTCCTTCACACGAGGGCCTACTACAAGCCCACGAACATGCACACGTATCTACGATACGACTCCAGTCACCCCTCCTCCTTGAAGAGCTCCCTAACCCTACTCCTTAGGTCTACATTTGAAGAGGATAAACAGCCTTGAAGACACACTTGCTACTCAACTTCTAGACCTCTGGGACATGTTCTCAGCCAGAGGATACCCAGAACAAGTAATAGCAACGGCTAAAAACAAACTAGACCTGAAGACGAGGTCAGAGCTCCTCATACAGGCCCCCACTCCAGACCCTCAGTCGAGATGGATCCTTCCATCGCTGTCTTTTAACGGCCTAGCAAGCCCTCTCCATAATACCCTGACTGACATCTGGACCCGGCTGAGAAACACCTATGCAACCACCCTTCTTGGCCTAGGTTTGCCCAATCACCTCCAATGCTGGCCTGGAGACGAGGAAAGTCACTTAAGGATCATCTAGTACATTCTTCCCTCCACAGGACACACTGCCTTTAACCAAACCTGACACAGACCGATGGCGCAAGAGAATACCCCTTGGTTCCCTGGGTAGGGGCCACCAGGTTGAGAGGGCCCCACAACATAATGCCAACATCTGGAGTCAAACTGGCATTTTTGTCCGTTGGGTGAAACAAAACACCATAAACGATATAATAGTTTATTAAATATAAATATTATTAATATATTTTCAACTGCAAGTTGTATGGAATTGTTGCAATTGCAGTTACTAGTGATTTGCAACTGAAGCTGCTGGAAGTTTTAGCAGCTTCGCGGTTGTTAGTAAGTAACAACTGCAGTTGTTAGTAAGTAACAACTGCAGTTGTTAGTAAGTTGTATATGCGAGTTGCAGACAATGTTGTAAGTGTACAGGAATACATATTAAGTGATCATAATAAGTATACTTGTATTTAATGTATACAAGGTTAGAGAATTCATCCCAGAATTATAAATGATGCACTTTGCAATGATAACGAAGGATACATATCGCCTATGCACAATTTATCTTAAATAATTGACATTGCTATTTACCAACAATTACCCACTTACATATGTGTCTAACATTACATGTGTAAATGATGAGACAAGCTACATGCATACAGAAACATTGAAAGAGTATGCATAATGAAAGTGTATACATGCGTACACAGATTCAGAGTAAAAGAAGTCGAGGTAAGCAATAAAGAGTAGACCATAATAAAGTTGCTACGGGTGATGGGGATTATATGATTATATGATTATATGATTATATCTTAACATACTAAGAAGTTAGGGTGGGTTGTGGTTTTCTATTCAGCTTTTCAAGATAAACTCAAATATTCACAATAAATTAGTATGTCACATATGCATTCATAAGCAAGATATTGACTATAAGCAGGTGCGAGAACGGGTTGCCTGTGAAGTGCCCCAAACGCCAGGCCGGCTGACTGGGAGTCTATACGGTCGTGAGTCATGCTTTTTACCACAATACCGACATCTGGAGTCGAACTGGCATTTCCAAGCCATATGTCTCCAACGAGAACACTTCATGCATAGTGTGGGCTCCTCAATATATGTTGCCACATTCCCGTATCCAAATCCTTGCCCAAAAGATCTTTCTGGAGCCTCGATCACCCTTTAATAACAAGGCAACAATCTGACTTTGTTTTTCACCACGTACAATGTTTCTCTTGCCCACACAACACTTTCATTGTTGTGATGAAAAAAATCAGGATCCAAATATGTTGGATACTTAAAAACTATTCACGAGTAGCCATCACAATATTCTTAATCCAACCGTCGTTAGGTGTTCCAAGGCCTCTGATTGATGAAGATTAAGCCACCCAAAAGGTGGCACGGGCATGAATAGCCCGTAAGTGGTGGCCCTCTTGAGCCATTACCAGTATCGAGAGCTGATACTGGAGATCTGTGGAGGTGCGAATGCACCCTGCGTGACGGGAGATGTCTCCCGTGGACCAAGTGACCAAGGCCTCTTCTGTCCCAACTGTTATATAGGGCCGGTGAACACTTTAATAGTGGTTGATATTCACCAAACTCCTTCGCCAAATGAACCTTCCACTCCAGCTTTTGATGAAAGTTCAGTTGAGATGTTGTAAGGAATAACAGTCGCTTCCTTCTATTAATCTGCGTCACTTGGCGTCCTGCTGGTGAGGGTTTTCTGTTGAAAATGTCTGGGAGTTCGCATCCCTGGATTCTCCTGTCATCGATCACTGCACTTTTTCGGTAGATTGTTGATTTCACTCTCACTATCACTAAGCTGTCTGAGTATTTCGCCGTTTCTTTCTGGTCATTGTTACCTGAAATTGCCTGGAATTACAGTGTCATCCTCACTCTCATATTCTCCAAGCCTGGTGCAAGATTGTCTTTCACTTGGGCAGACCTCCTCTGCCATTGTATCGACACGCAAAGGCACTGTATCACTGTAACAGTTGAGCACAAGTTCACAGTATCCATGAGCGCTCACATGTCGCACCATGACACGAAACAATGGGTATAAATTGGATTGCCGCGTGACGTGGTGGAGGTGGGGTCCCTCGATTGTTTCAAGCGCGGGTTGGACAAGTATATGAGTGGGATTGGGTGGTTATAGATAGGAGCTGCCTCGTATGGGCCAATAGGCCTTCTGCAGTTACCTTTGTTCTTATGTTCCTATGTTCTTATGATCGAACGCGATTGGGATCGGAATTCGAAATGAAAGGAGTTACTCCTTCAGCTGGCAGTTGAAAATTAATGAACAGGTAATTTTAATAATAGGTCTTAAATAATTCTTAATGTGTAAGATTAAAATAATTGTTTTTTATGTAATCAAGTAGGAATACGGATAGAAACTTTCTCATTATATAGAAATAAAGAAGTTATTACATAAGGCACTTAGGCTAATTCTAAAAGGAATATAATAATAGCTGCCTGACAATCTATAATCATATACTTATTTCTAAGTAGACAATTACAGTAAAATTGATAGTTTTTAGATACCCTAAGGGTAATAAATATTAAAAATATAATTAGAAAGACTTTCCAAGATCAGTGTGCCGACCGCAGAGTTCCCGGCGCTGACCTGAGACAGGTCAGGACATGATTGGGAAGGTCATTCCACATTCTGGGTCCCTTGATTTGTACAGCATTTATAGTTTGGTTAAGTCGTACTCTCTTGGAATATAGGTACAGTATTTGTTTCTGGTTTGGTAACAATGGGTTCTGTTACAACCTTCTAGGAAGCGTTTAAGGACAGGATTGGCAATACAGTTCAGAATTTTATATATATATATATATATATATATATATATATATATATATATATATATATATATATATATATATATATATATATATATATATATATATATATATATATATTTGGGTATATATATATATATATATATATATATATATATATATATATATATATATATATATATATATATATATATATATATATATATATATATATATATATATATATATATATATATATATTTATTGCTGAGTTACTCCTTCAACTGGCTACAAAAAAATAATGAATGAAAATTGTTCTTCAGCAACCTATAATAATTATAATACATTACCATAATTTTTAAAATTGATAATAAAGTAAAATAATAATTATGTAATTAAATACAATTACTAATATATGTAGTTAATTTATGTTAAACTATAGAAACCCTAACATAAGTCACTTAGGTTAGTTCTAAAAGAAATAAAATAATAGTTGCCTGACGGTCAATTCACCTTTATTTCACATATTTTAATACATTGTATAATTGATATAAATTTTTTTGATACCTTTAAGGTACTATTTACATTTAAAAAGGTATATATGGCCTTATTCAGGTGTTCCAAGTTCTGGCTACAATATAGTACCAATGTCCTTAATATGTCCTACGCTGCTAATGTTGATAGTTCCTCTGTGGTAGATTTACCCCCGGGGAGCCGGTCGGCCAAGCGGACAGCACGCTGGACTTGTGATCTTGGGTTCGATCCCAGGCGATGGTGTTGAGGTACGGGAAGCGCCGTGGACTTATCGGCTTGTACGCAGATTTTGGGTCGATATTTTATATTAATAATATTAAAAAGAATATTAAAAAGAAATATACCTTTCAATTTCTGATTAGTACCCTAAGGTATCCAAAATATACTAACTAACTATTCTACTTCAATATATGAAAGTTTAGACCGTCAGGCAACAATTATAATATTCATTTTAGAATTAACCTAAGTGGCTTATGTAAATTTTTCAACATTTCTATATATATTAAAAGTTTATATTCGTAATTATTTTTAATTACATTTTTTCTTTTTATTTAAGTCTTAAAAGTCAAGAATTTTTCAGACCGTCACGGGAACTATACACTTTGGCGTATCCGGTACCTTAGCCACCAGACCACACTTGTACAAAAATATTGACAAAAATATTTTATAAAAATATAAAAATATTGAATATTTTGTAAAATATATATATATATATATATATATATATATATATATATATATATATATATATATATATATATATATATATATATATATATATATATATATATATATATATATATATATATATATATATATATATATATATGTCGTACCTAATAGCCAGAACGCACTTCTCAGCCTACTATTCAAGGCCCGATTTGCCTAATAAGCCAAGTTTTCATGAATTAATGTTTTTTCGTCTACCTAACCTACCTAACCTAACCTAACAGCTTTTTTTGGCTACCTAACCTAACCTTACCTATAAATATAGGTTAGGTTAGGTTAGGTAGGGTTGATTAGGTTCGGTCATATATCTACGTTAATTTTAACTCCAATAAAAAAAATTGACCTCATACATAGAGAAAAGGGTTGCTTTATCATTTCATAAGAAAAAAATTATAGTAAATATATTAATTCAGGAAAACTTGGCTCATTAGGCAAATCGGGCCTTGAATAGTAGGCTGAGAAGTGAGTTCTGGCTACTAGGTACGACATATATATATATATATATATATA